TTTTAGTACTATCGTCTTATTCCAGTCCTCTTGTTCTCAGACTATTCCAGTGCATTTGTACTATTGTTTGTTACCAGATTCTCACTGCTCTTTAATGCATGACCTCTCTTTATATATATTATTTGTCAGAGCCTAAAAAATGTATGTCTGAGTAACCTTTTTCACTTTTATGAACCTGTGTCACACAAGTTGTACGTTTCATCTTCTTGTCCTATTGTACTCATGTCGGCCTTGGACGTATGTGCTGTTGTGTTTAATTCATCATATTCATAACTGTCATCTCGGCTATTTTCATCCTAAACCCAAACCACTATATGCATGTTGATACAATGGTGTCTTTTATCTCAAGTTTGGCAGGGTTTTCTTGTTGTTATCTTGGATGGTTATCAGCTGTTATATTACAGCCATTCCTTTTATGTTCTTCTGTTCTCACTGTGTGCATGAACATATCCAGCTTATCTAAATACATGTCAATAATTCTTCTATAGTAGCACTGTAAATCTTGATGCTGGTCTAGTAAGTAAAGCACGACTTTTATTATACAAAGTCTTCTTAACAAAATCCTCTCTGTCTTTGTCTCCCTGAAGAGGAAGGCCCTGCATGGAAAGGAAAAAAGGGCAAAGGTATGCTGTCTCTTCTGCTCTCGTAGTGTAAATTTTAAAACGCTATCATTTTCAGTTTAAATTGATATTATTTTTGTTGTTATGTGTTCTTTAAATCTATGGCTGCGTCTTGTTAGCTGATGACCTGGCCATGGTTGTGCACATAGAAGTGAAAGGTTAGTCCCTTCCACTCTCTAACACCCCTATCTCAGTACAGTGGCATAGTCCATGTATTGTTCTTAGTGGGATATTCCATATAATATAGGTGTGTCAACTTTAATGCTTACAGGCTATTTTTGAAAGTGGTTCAACTTCGTGGTGTTTGAAATGGAGGTTGGCTATGTGCATGTGCTGACAATAATGAATAATGTACATGTCAAGGTTAAAAATAAATAAAAATAAAGATGTTTTCAAATCTGCCATTTTGCCACATTTCATTTAAGAGTCAAACATACCATTTCTTTCACTGAACCTTGATGTATATTCAACATCATTTAACCTGCATTTGTGGTGACTATCTATTATAAATCACATCTTGTGGGGACACGTCTCTGATCTGTCAGGCAGTTTATTGCTGTATTCCTGTCACCATTCATAATGTGAATCTGAGCTGGATTTCAAGACGTACATCTACACATGTATTCCTGTCACCATGTACTATACTGTGATGTGAATCTGAGCTGGATTTCAAGACGTATATATACACGTGTATTCCTGTCACCATGTACTATACTGTGATGTGAATCTGAGCTGGATTTCAAGACGTATATCTACACATGTATTCCTGTCACCATGTACATACTATACTGTGATGTGAATCTGAGCTGGATTTCAAGACGTATATCTACACATGTATTCCTGTCACCATGTACTATACTGTGATGTGAATCTGAGCTGGATTTCAAGACGTATATCTACACATGTATTCCTGTCACCATGTACTATACTGTGATGTGAATCTGAGCTGGATTTCAAGACGTATATCTACACATGTATTCCTGTCACCATGTACTATACTGTGATGTGAATCTGAGCTGGATTTCAAGACGTATATGTATTCTGATGAAAAGTTTTAAAAGATGAAATCTTGTATATTATAACCACAGAGGGCGCTATTGTAATTTTTAAACTACACATGATGAATTACAGCAATTAGTTTAAACTATTGATGTGCTGTATATTAAATAAAGCATAATAAGTCCTTATAAAGTACTCTTGCTGGTAACTTATTTTATAAATTAAATGTTATTTACAATAAAAATATGAATATTTTGTATTTATCATTCTCTGACCTTCCTAGGACATCTGCTCAACTAATTAAGTGCATGTGTTACAACAAACATATTTTAATGTTTTGTGTCAATGTCAATTTTCTCTGAACGAAGATATGGTTACAATGCATCACTGTTACTCACTGACTTTATAAACCCTCATAAAATTTGCTAGCATTTGTCTCTTAAGTAAAGTGGTTTCCTATATACATGTATGTAAATCTTGATAAACTACAGCCAGTGGCGAAACCAGTGTCACGTAGTATGGTCATGTGCAAATAATGGAAGTTTAGCTCAATGAGCTCCCCCAGCCAATCAGAGTGTTGCAAATATTCACATCCAAAAAATCAACCTGTCAAAGACTGGCGTTAATGCCTTGTAGTGTAGATTACCAATAGTCACTTTCTTAGTTCCGTAGGTGCATTCGGTAGATGTCGGTACAAAAGCCAGTTGACTACATATCGACAAAAGGCAGAACCATGACAATTTCTTGAAACTGCTGCAAGGAATGTCTACAAAGTGTACAACCACATGTACCAGTGAAACCACGCCCAAACCATTCAGCTGCTGTTCAACTCGTATTCTACCACACTACTGAAATTCAGACCACATGGCTACCCTATTTATACTACAGCGAACTTCCTAGGTGTAGCAGATATTATAATATGACTCATTGAATATGCAAATAAGAACAATGACTCGAATAAATACATTTGTATACACACAAAAATACATTTCTATGTTATAGAATATTGAAAAATCATCACAACAGTCAGTGGCGAGACCACAGTCAGTAGCAAAATCTCAGCCAGTGGTGAAACTGCAGCCGGTGGTGAAACTGCAGCTGATGATGAAACTGCAACTGATAATGAAACCGCAACTGATGGTGAAACCGCAGCCGGTGGTGAAACTGCAGCCGATAGTGAAACTGCAGCCATTAGTGAAACTGCAGCCAATAGTGAAACTGCAGCCAGTGGTGAAACCGTATCCAGTGGTGAAACTGCAGCCGATGGTGAAACTGCAGCCGATGGTGAAACCGCAGCTAATAGTGAAACCACAGTCAGTGGTAAAACCGCAGCCGATAGTGAAACTGCAGCTGATGGTGAAACTGCAGCCAATATTGAAACTGCAGCCGGTGGTGAAACTGCAGCCGGTGGTGAAACTGCAGCCGGTGGTGAAACTGCAGCCGGTGGTGAAACTGCAGTCGG